CCCAGGCACTCGTACCCCCACAGCAGTGGCCTGTGGGCTGGAGGGAACTCACCCCAACAGCACAGACCAGCACCGATGCTGGATCGGCCCCTCCTCACCCTTGTCCTGCGAGGATGCTCGACGGCCCCTTTGGCTCGGTGAGGGGGTGAGGGTGGGGAGTGCCTGGCCGGATCCCGTCCCCTCCCTCCCGGCTCCTCACCTTCTCCACGATGAGGTCGTAGAGGAGCGTCACCACACGGACGTGGAGGGTCTCCATCCCCTTCTGCCTGAAGAGGCTCCTGAGGACCTGGAGTCCGCCCAGCTTGAGGAACTGCTGCTGGGCGTAGGGGAAGTGTCTCAGCATGGAGGACAGTGCAAAGAGAGCCTGGCAGGGAGAGAGGTCCATCAGCATGGTGGCCACGGCTGCCACCTCTCTTCGTGGCATCCCATGGGGACAAGAGAAATGCTCCAAACCAATTGTGCAGAGCTCCCCAGCATATGCATTCAAACCTCTCCTCGCTGAGCGGCGTCTTTTCTCCTGATCCTAACCCTCCCTGGCGCTGCGAGGCTGCCCGAACCTGGGTGACTTCCACCCAAGCTCCAACCCAGACTGTCACCACGTTTGCTAGAAAAATACCCTTGAATCCTGTGTTCAGTTTTGGGCCCCTCACGACAAGAAGGACATTGAGGTGCTGGAGCGTGTCCAGAGAAGGGCAACGGAGCTGGTGAAGGGCCTGGAGCACAAGTCTGATGGGGAGAGGCTGAGGGAACTGGGGCTGTTTAGCCTGGAGAAGAGGAGGCTGAGGGGAGACCTCATCGCGCTCTACAACTACCTGAAAGGAGGTTGTAGCGAGGTGGGGGTCGGTCTCTTCTCCCAAGTAACCAGCGATAGGACGAGAGGAAATGGCCTCAAGTTGCGCCAAGGAAGGTTTAGACTGGACATTAGGAAAAACTTCTTTCCTGAAAGAGTGGTCAGGCCTTGGAACAGGCTGCCCAGGGAAGTGGTGGAGTCACCATCCCTAGAGGTATTTAAAAGACATGTAGATGAGGCGCTTAGGGACATGGTTTAGTGGGCATGGGGGTGTTGGGTTGACGGTTGGACTTGATGATCTTAGAGGTCTTTTCCAACCTTAATGATTCTATGATAATAACCCAGAGGGACCCGTGGCCAGCACTCAAACAGACCCAACGCCATCGCTTCTCCTTGCAGTTTGTCCCCACTGGTCCCCAGTACAGAGCCCGGCTATGGGCTAAGGATGGGGCGAAGGAGGTCCAGCTCTGCTCAGCAGAGCCCAATCCCCTCGAGATGATTTGGACGCCTGGGGAACACCCTCTCCCTCACACATATGCGGCTGGAGGACAAGACCATGTTTCCCAGGACGCAGCCCCAAAACAGGGTCTGTCATGGTGCAGCATCACGCACCGCCAGCGAGAGACACCAGCACGCCTGCATTTGCCTCCTGGGCCTTGAGTGGCATGGGGTTAACACTGAGGAGGCAATTAGGGGCCAACTGGCTGAATCTCACACTCGTCTGGTTTTGACAACGGCGGTTTGCAGAGGGGATGGGCTGCCGCCGCCCGGGGCAGGGCTGCCGCCCGAGCGGGTACAGGCATGCTCATCGGGGTGCCTGCCAGCGAGGTGGACCGTGCAACCCCGTTCTCTGCCGACAGATCTGAGCTGACAGCCATGTCGTCCCCAGTCCCATTTGTTTCTATTTTCCATCTTCCGAGTTGCCGCTGGTGAATCGGAGGATGTTTCCGTCTCCTTTTTTAACCATAGGCCAAAGGACGGGGGAGGCAAGAAATGCACTTTTGGCCTCGCTGCTGCACACCGCTGCGAGCATCGGGGCGGAAAACTCACCGGCGCGGGAGCCGTGGGCTGCTGCCCCGTGCGGGAAGGGGTTGGGGCACCGACCTGTCCTTGGGATCCTGGCCTGGAGAGAGACCGGAGACCATATGCAGCATGGGAACTGGAAATTAAAAGCCTCTGTCCTCCTGAAAAAGGTGGTTCAACCCTCGGAGGCTCTCGTAAGGCCGCATGTGAATGTGGACAACACTGAGCTCATCCCTCTCGCTCTTCTCCAGGGGCTGCCAGTGGGACACATTCAGGCTCACTGGAAAGAATTGTCCCGCGCCCACCACCCAGGGGTTCAAGCGATGCTGGTGAGGGCCTCTGCATGCCCAGCCATCCCTCTGCACCCCAAAACGAGCTCCAGATTGAGCCACCACACTCCTGGGAGGAGTTTGTGAAAGTG